GTAGGTTTGAACCACCAGCCTTGTGGTTAGCTGATCCTACAGCGCCACACCAGAACTTCACTGTTGTGTTGTTGTTGTTAAGTGCTGTTGAGTCAGTTCTGACCCATAGCGACCCTGGATAGGGTTTCCGAGGAGCAGCTGGGGAGCTTGAACCACCACCCTTGCAGTTCAAATGGCTTTGCAGTATGATGTCTTAACCCACAGCACCACACCAGGACTCCTCACTGTTGTGTTAGGAGAAGGAAACCTTTGTTTTCACAACCACCATCCTATCTGACATCTCTTTGGATTCCGCACTAGGAGTCTGTTTTCTTTATTTTCTTGGGGTTCATCCAGAACCTATCTTCTGCCCATTGTACACTCTGCTGGGAGGCAGAGAATTGGCATCAGCTTGTGTAGCTGCACTGACTGGTTACCATGTGTTGTTTCTTCCCTGCGTTGTTTTCCAGAATCCCGATCCTCTCCGGTATTCTATCAACACAGCTCTCTGCAGTTTAAACTCAGTGGGACACAAAGAAGATGATGAGCCCAAAATGATGGACACTGTGTGATTTGGCCAAGAATGCTGAGGGTGAGGACTGTTTTGCTACAAGGAGGGGCTTGGCCATTTTCTTGACACTTTTATGGGTGCTGCACTTTATTTTTGTTCGGGTTTTGATGGGAAGGGGGGCAAAAAAAGTACTGAAATGTTTTGTAATTTTTTTTTGTTTTTTTTTAATGTGCTGCTAGTTTTGTTTTGTCTATTCTGTTTTCTGGAAGACAGGAGTGGTACCGTAATTTGTAGGAAGTCAAACTGGACGTTTTTTGGCTACTAAATTCGCCTTCGATCTTATTCCCAATTTCTGGAATCAAAGTTAAGAAAATCTGCACAAATTCCATGTTTACAAGAACTGGGTGGTTTTTAGGAAGCATCTGCTGCAGTCCCCTTTTCTATGGCCCGACCCCTGTACTGCTCTACAAAATGACTCAAGATAAAAATGTACTTGTACCTTCGAAGTTAGCTGTCAAATCTGGTGTTTCGTCCCATTAAAGCAATAAAGCAGTAGTTGATAATCTACTTTACTAAACTGGGTGGTACAAATTAAAAACAAGGCTTTCCCCTTAAAGTAGTAAGACAACATTTGTGTTTTCGGCACCATCAGCTAAATATGCCATAATAATATAAACGTGATATGACACTAAATTTTCCCCAAAAATATCCGTAAAAGCTGTATTCCTTAGTAACTAATTTTACCTTGTTGACATAAAAAACGATAGAACTAGGACTTTGTAATCAAATTCAAAACTGTGGACTAAATGGAATGTTTCCACCAACTGCTTAAAGCCCTCTCATATATCTAGAGTCCTGGTGTGGTGCTGTAAGGTCAGCACTGGACTGGTAACTGCAAGGCGCTGGTTCAAACCTACCAGTCACTCCTTGGGTACTATACACAGGTGGCTGTGAGTTGGAACCGACTCAATGGCACTTAACATCAACAATTCATCTATGTGATCACCTTAAAGCTCACCCTTAATTTCTTTACTTAGCATAGTCTTGCATCTCTCAGGGAGCTTGTCTTCTAGGAATACTGATAGCCTGTAAAAACAAACAGGAAGAAGGTGCTATCAAGAATTAGGGGTGTTGTTTATTTCACTCAGCGCCCCAAGGACTTTTCTAAAATGCAAGGGAAATCATGTCATGCTAACTGCCTTGAGATGCCACTTCTTCTTCTATCTGCAGTGAGGAGCCCTGGTGTGGCACTGTAGGATAAGCACTGGACTGCTAACTACAAGATGGGCATTTCAGACCCACCAGCTGCTCCTTGGTAGCCCGTGAGTTGGTAACTGATTGAGTGGCACTTACAGCTTCTGCAGCAATGGTGTGTAGTACATTCAGCTCTCCTCTCTCTAGCTCAGTCTCTGCCAAGTCCCCTCCTATTCCATCCGTATACTTGATGACCCGTTCGCTGCATTTGGCCTTAGATGCCAGCGCTGGTCACTCTCATCATCTGGGTAACTCTGCAGACTTACAGGCATCAGTCTAGTCTGGCTCATTACCCTTTGAGACTCGTACCCAACATGTGGAAGATGGTTAACCATGGCAAAGTACGTCTCAACTGGAGAAACCAAATCATGCTACTGCACCCATAGGCTAACCAGACCTGTGAGCTTGGCTGCCTTCACACCTTAAGTGTGGTGACCAGCATCTAGTAGCCACAGAGACGGATGGACTGGAATGATTGACTCAAGACTTCATCTGTAACATCACAATCTTCCGGGTTTTCAGAATAGCCTCTCTGCTTTTGATATAAATATATATGCTAAGATAAATAAAATGTTTGACTAATTTATATGGTAATATTCATCAGCCTGTAATTGTTAGTATCGTTACTAATGACATAGCAGCAGAAGTGCCTTCCTTAGGTTGGTTTTTTTCTCTATATATTCTGTTCCGGAGCCAGTCGTTCCTGTCAGAAATGACCGTTTGTCCCAGACGTTAGTTGAATCGTGACTTTCATTCCTTCACCGGTTCCCAGGGTTCTTCTGGAAGTGTCCCCATGGCTGCGATAGTGAGTCATCGTGCTGGAAGATGTAGGCTTCTTTGTGACTGAAGACGGGAAAGTGGAGCCAGCCCCTCCTGAAAGTAGCTTTTTCCCCCTAAAACAGGCATCACTGAAGGATTGAATCTTTAAAATACGAGTCTGCAAGGGGGCTTCAAAAAATTGGTAGAAATATTCCACTATCTTTCAGTTCCATTTTTCCAATAACTTCTTAAAACCTCACTTGGCTCTATTTTGAGTGTGAAAAATATGGGATTTGTTGTGGGAACCACTGACCCATGGTTAACTTTGCATTTGAAGACTTTAACCTTTACAGACTTAGCAGTACTTTAGTACTTATGGACAGCAAAGTAATCCTTTGTATTTTTATTTACGAGAGTCAAAAATTACCCTCCGTAGCCTGATGACGATAGTGACACTTGAAATGACTCTGTCGAATAGACCAGTAACAGTGGGTTCTGTGGTAAATCAGCCATAGGTATGCCTATGATACCATTCACGGCAGACTTGGGTTTCAAAAAGTTTGTGCAAGATCGGTATCAAAACAACTCACAGAAGAGCACAAACAGAAGCATTTGCACATCTGCAAACAAAATCTGGACCAGTAACTTGAAGGAACATAAAAGTTTCTTTAAAAAAACAAAACCCATTAGTGGTGACGAGACATGGCTTCATCACTAGGAACCTGAGAGTAAACGGCAGAGTATGGACTGGAAACATCCTCAATGACCGACCAAGAAAATGTTCAAGTCAACCATCAGCTGGAAACTTGATGCTCACAGTTTTCTGGGATTCTCAAGGGTCAGTTTTGGAACACTACCAGGAACAAATTCAACTATCAACAGTGATCACAGTGAGATGCTCACGGAAGAGCTGATGGTTCCCACCCGTAGTGACCCCGTGTATAGGGTTTCCAAGGAGTGACTGGTGAATTTAAACTGCTGACCTTGCAGTCTGGTGCCTTAACCCACAGTGCCACACCAGGACTCTGCTGGAAATGACACTGACTTTAAATCATTAAGAGAGATGGCTAGCATTCTCTTGTAGATGTACTGTTGTTGTCGTTAGGTGTCAGTTCCAAATCAGCTACCCTGTATAGTTTCTGAGGCTGTAAATCTGCACAACTCTGGTAGCACAGTGGTTACGAATCAGGCTGCTAATCTCACAGTCAGCAGTTCGAAACTACCATCCATCTATCTGTTCTGTGGGAGAAAGATGAGGCTTTCCACTCCAGTAAAGATTTACAGCCTCAGAAACCCTGTACAGGGTCACTATGAGTCAGAACCGACTCCACGGCACGTAACAACAACAAACCTGCATGGGAGCAGAAGAGCCTCATGTGTGTCCCATGGCTGATGGGTTTAAGCTGCAATCTACACTACCACCAGCATTCCCCTTCCACTGATGAGGGCAACAGGCTTAATTTTAACCCCTTTGCAACCCATGGAACCTATCTTGTCCACCAATGTTTTCAGCTAGCAGATTTTTGGGAAGCTGCTATCCCACTTGTAGTTGCTGCTGCTGCTGCTGCTTGGAGACCTGTATAACTCTGAATCTGCAGAGACGCCTCACTCCACCAATCCTTCCACGAGTCCACTTGGGACCTCGGTATCCCACATAATTGTACCAAAAGTCCTTTGTTGTCAGTTGCCATCGAGTCTGTTCTGACTCGTAGTGACCATATACACAGCAATGTGCATGGGGTCACCGACTTGATGGTACTTAACAATAAGTAACAGTCCATTATTACCTCAAAAAGAAACTTCACCTTGATTTCAGCCTGCCTTCCACTACTGCAAACAGGTGGCACTGACAAACATGCAAAGCAGGAAAGAATTCAGCCTGGAAGGATTCTATCATGACTCGAGGATAGAGCCACGGCAGCATTGTCTTCAGCTGTAACCAGCAGCTTCCCACCTCTGCCTGGTGAACTCAGCATCTCCTGTTACATGGAAGATAGCCAGGTCTTCCTCTTCTATCACACAAATAGTCCTAACTTCCTCTAAAAGGGAATTAATACACTGCCCAAAGAAAACCATGAATCTGGCATTGGGAGTTTCCTTACAGTATGAGAAAGGCAATGGTGGGTTTAGGTAAAGTGATCCTACAGTTACCCCTGGGGGGCTTTCAGTGAAAAGGAAGAAGCAAGTCCCTTTACTAGTCGGTCCGTTTTAGGCTTTGTAGCAAAGTTGTGACAGAATGGTACTAGTCTGGGCTGAGGCCAAGTTTTTGGTTTCCGTTTTGCCACTCCATCAACACGTTTTAGTGGATATCGTACAGCCGATGCACCCACTTCCCATGCCATGGACACGTGTGTTTCTTCTGAGAAGCTGACTTGTCCAGTATGTATCTGCTTGCTTGCTATATAAGCAGATTTGAGGAGGGGTTTACAAAGATGAGTAAATTGATTAGGGACTGCTTTCCATCTAATCATGAAGCTGAAACCATTATAGTAAGCCTTAAAGAATTAAGACTTGGAAGTTTGGTCATTTCTAAATATGAAAATGATCTTTTTTAAAATACCACAGAATACACTTTAAAAAAGAAAAAAAAAGAATACATCATTCACTTGGCTTTTTCCACCTGTATAATTTATTTCTATGTCTTTGAGTCCCTTCAAAAACTTGACACAATGTCACATGGATTTACACTTGGAGAAAATCCTTCCAAAGTGCAACCGGACAACTTAAACTCTGGCTTAACAGTCAGCGTGGGAACCCCTGAGGTCATCTGTGAGCTGAGGAGGAGAGGGAGGGTGGACCTGGAGTCAACAGCATGTCAGCCACACTGTTCTTGACCACATTTTCAAACTTTGAATGATAACTCCCCAAACCAAAATCTTAAAAAGCAAAGGCGGGAAAGCAATTCCTGCAGTTTATCAGCATCGAGAGGTTATTCTCTTTGGTTGAGAAGACACCTATTTGAAAACTCAAATTTCTGCTTGTTGGGAGAGAGGGGTGCAAGTATGACCATAATTTCAAAATCTGAGGTCTGTAATTACAATGACTTCTTGTTGCTAGCTAAGCTGTTTGTCACATGTTTTGTTTTGTTGGAATGTCATGTATGGAACTAAGACACAAGTAAGCCATGAGCCAAGGGTTAGCAAGGGAAAGTGCTATTTAACCCAATGGAGCTGAGGGTTGGAATAGAATTTCTGGGCAGTGCTAACAATGGCCAGTGTATGGTTCCCATGGCGCAATCTGTGTACAAGAGACAGAAGCAAGATAATGAACTGGCTGTTACTGCCCTAGAAACCAGTAATGGGCTGAGGTAGAGTCCTCACTAACAACTGAAAGTCAGGCATTCAGGTCCAAACATTTCCGTGGGGCACGCACCTCATAACGGTGGGTTACTCAGCAGTGACACTCTTAGGAGTGACTATGACAACTCATTCTGCGTAAAAACTCCTTTTGGTTCCATAAAGAGAAAAGTTCTTAGAGGCATTTTCCAAAGTATCAAGCCAAGGTGCAAAAGGGGGGGTTCACTGTCCTGTGTGGGGAAGGGGTACTCGGGAGTCTAAACTCGTGTTTTTTATAGTTGTGTTCTTTCGGCTCGTTTTAATTTCCCACCTCTCAAGGGTCAGGTAGGCGATGAGATGAGCTCAGGGACCAGGAAGTGGGGTGGGAAGGGTTCGGGGAGGGACCCCAGACAGTGCTGAGACTCCATTTCCCAATAATAAAGACGAGTGGTAGTTCATGAGTTTAATAATTCAGAACTTGTTTGCAAAGTACATAATATTCAAATCGGGCGTTATAGAAAGTTTTATAAAGAATGGAAACATTTACCAGAAACCTTTTGTAAAAATCTTGGTTCATTTGGAAAAACAATGAAAAATCGTAGAAAGCAAATATGTTGTCCCCTCCCCTGTATAAAACAAAACAACCCAGCCTTTCCAACATTTGTGTGTTCGATGCCTGGAGTAAAACAGGAGGCCACGTTTTTAAATCGCTCCTATAGGGACATGTCGGATTGGATTCACACCAAGTGAAGGGCAAGCAGGAGGCCTGGTGGCATGGGGGTGTTAAGGTCAGTGGTTTGAAGCGTCTCAGGAGAGATGTGGCTGTCTACTTCTGGAAAGACTGGCATTCATGGAAAAACTATGGGGCGTTCCACCTTTGTCCCTCAGGGCCTCTAGGAGTCGAACTCAAGGGCGGCCGCCAATTTTGATTCAACATGCCACCTGAGGTATTGTTAGAGGTAGGGTTGTCACCCTACTCAGACCAGGCCACAGTGTCCTCGTGGCCCTACCAAGAAACCTAACATAATGCCTTTCTAAGGGTGTTCACATTACACTCAGCCTTGTTCTTTCGGAACCCTTAAAATAGGGTGGCAGAGAACACTCTTCTTGTTAGACGCCAACCAGTTGGTCCTGGCTCATTGTGGCCTGTGCCCAACAGGAGGAAACACTGTCCGGTCCTGCCACAGTCACTGCTGTACTGGAGCCCACTGAGCTAGACTCTGTGTCAGACCATCTTACTAGTCCATTTCACTGACCCTCCACTGTTACCAAGAAGGTCGTGCCTCAGGGACTGGTCCCTCCTGATACCATGGCCAACGTCTCCTGTGTCAACTTCTCTAATCACGACTAAGGAAGCCCTTCTTCAGCAAAATTAGTTTCTGGTTCTTTTTACCAGAATGTAAAGCCTTTATTTATTGCTACACTTGCTTACAAATTACGATTGCTACTGCTGTCAAAGGCGTTTCCCCCAGGCAGGCTGGCTCTATTATCTTGTGGCAAATATGTTTAATTTATATAGTGCCACCATTTTTGTTTTTCTTTTTTAAAATACATCACAGCATATCCTAAATTTCAACCACAAAAAGAAACTGGCAAGAATATTCTAAACACACATTTCTTACCCTGAGTAATGTCTGAAGGCATCCGACTTCACGTTTTTCATTGAAAAAATTTCATTCAGCAATGGTACTTCAACAACTTACAATATCAGATTTTAAATAAATCATTATCCCTACGTTTATTTTCCAAAAGAAAGTAAAGTCATAGTGCCCTACATGCTGTGATACTTTTTTTTTTTTTTTTAAGGTTTTTACTGTGGATTGAGTGAAAGTTTTCAGGGCACATCATCGGTTTCACATTCAAACATTTATATACCTTGTGATACATTTTTATAGCAAATGGAAAATTCTGAGTAAACAGACAGGAAGTTTAACAACAAAACAAAGTATATATGGCCAACGTGTCAGTTTCGTAGTTTAAACGTAACAGTGAATTTGCATTCTGCAACAGATCAGAAGTCCAGTTGTGTTTCTCTGGAATTTTAGAAACCATAAAACCACATCCCACCGTACTAGAAACGTTTTGTTTTTGACATCTTTGCCTCTAATGAGATACTAATTTAGTATCTTTTTTTTTTTTTTTTAACTTTTCCAGAAAAAGACACATTTTTATCAACTACATACTTTTTCTGAATAAATGTAGGTTACTGCCAGTAGCTTTTTTCATTTTATATTAAAGTTTTTCTGTAAAACATCACTCATGTGTTAGAACTGCACATCCAACAAAGAGGACTGAGTAAGACACTAGACAATTTAAAAAGATAAATTTTAGTATCTGACGTACTTGGCACATCCTTAGTATCTACAATAAAGTCAGTAGAAATGAAACTATGATTTTCGAGTAATTCATATAGGCTAGTGTCGTAGGATGAGGAGGGTCATCCAGCTCACGAACCACCTGTGTTTTTTCCTCATGGAGTCACTGAGGCTTTCTGGATGGTTTGTGGAACTTTGGTTTGGAGGAAAGAATATATATGGGGCCACATCTTGTTGGTTTCTGTTCCGGAGAATGTTTCCAACACACCTTTTTTCCTAAAGATGGGGGGGGGGGGGGGCAAAGAACATGGGTCTGAGACTTCCGAATGAGTTGTTCCAGAGTGACTCTAAAGATGACCAGTGGACATAGAGGCTCAGGAAGTGTAGGTTTGTGATAAGAGAGAAAAGCACCTGTTGAACATTGTAGCTCTGGGAATCTCGGTTTCACTGGTGTCCTCGGACTCACAGAGAGAATGATTTCACAAAAAGAACTGCGCCAATCATTTATTGAGCACATACTACAAGAAGGGGAGTCCTGGAGGGGTGCTACAGGATGATGCACTGGACCACAGGGTCGTCTAGACCACAAAGTCAGTGGTTCAAACTTACCAGGCACCCTATACAGGGTTACCATGAGTCAGAACTGATTCAACGGTATTTAATCAACAACATATTAGACAAGGGGGCTTCAAAAAGTCTGGAAAATGCCACGATCTTTTCATTCCATTTTTCCACTCTTGAAGCCCCTGTATGTTAAGCCCTATGCTAGGTGTTTTACATATAATACTTGACGCATGTAAATGTGACTGACAGATCAAGGTCAAGTAGCAGTCCAAGTCTCTCCGCTTCCAGGTTTCCAAACAGGCTCTGTCATTATCTAGGCCCTGACTTTGGGCCACTTACCTGTTTGCAAGAAGAGCTTGATAATTCCTTCTTTTCATCTAGATTTATTTTTTTCTCTAGTCTACCCTTCTGAAACAGGAGAAAAGATAAGGCTTTCTGCTCCCGTAAAGATTTACAGCTTGGGAAACCCTATCCTCAGGGTCACGATGAGTCAGAACTGAACTGACTTGAAGGCATACAACCGCCACCACCAGCCCTCGTCGAAATCTCAGGAAAATCCGTCATTCCTGGGGGCAATGCAGTGAGGGCTGAATGTCAGGACATGCCTTTGAAACAACACTTTGCCTCCACAGATTCTGGCCTTCCTCTAGAGTCTCCTCCTCCCTAACGTGGTGTGCACACACATGTGTACATGCATGTGCAAATGTACACAGACATACAGCTAAAGGCACATGGAGTCCCTGCGTGATGCAAACTGTTCGAGTCTACTCAAGAGGTGCTTAGGAAAAAAGGCCTGGTGATCTACTTCCAAAAGGTCACCACTGCGAAAACCGTCTTACAGAGTGAAGCTCTACTCTACAACGTGTGTGGCTGCCATGACTTGGAACTGACTCAGCTGCATTCCTGAGTTGTGTCAACAGATTGGGTACACCAGTAGTACCTCGGAAGAAAGGCCTGGTGATCTGTGTCTGAGAACCCTAGGGAGTACAGTTCAACACTGATACACATGGGGGTACTATGAGTTGGTGCCGACACCACACAACAGGACATGCTCCACAGGATAAGCACTGGACTGCAAACGACAAGGTCAGCAGATCAAGCTCCAAAGGACAAAGAGGAGGCTTTCTGCTCCCACAAAGATTTAGTCTCAGAAACCCTACACAGGATGGCCAGACTTCATCTCTCATTCTTCAGACATGTTGTCAGGAGGGACCAGTCCCTGGAGAAGGACATTATGCTTGGGAAAGTGGAGGATCAGAGAAAAAGAGGAAGACCCCCAGAGAGATGGATTGGCACAGCAGTGGTGGTAGCAACGGCCTCATATATAACAATGACTGTGAGGACTGGGCAGGGCTTCGTTCTGTTGTGCACAGGTTGCTATGAGTCAGAACCAACTTGACGGCCCCTAACAATAACTAGAATCCTGGTGCGGTGCTGTAGGATAAGCATGCGACTGCAAGGTCCATTTGAACTGAGAGTTCGGAAGTTCAAACTCAACAGTCACTCCTTGGAAACCCTGTACAGGGTCACTATGAGTCGGAATCGACTCGACAGCATTTAACAACAGCAATGATTAGTCTTTAAGTATCCCACAGCTGAGAAGAGTTTTGAAAACAACAAAACTGTCCATGTTTTTAAAAAATAACGCAGAGGATCTCTAAAGTTGTTGCTAAGGCCCTTTCCATTTCTGGTTCAGGCCAGTGTAGTTGGGCCACAGGAAAAAGCTTGACTTAGTGGCAAGGGGTAGCAGGAACAAGACACCTAGAAAGACAAGGGTTTCTTCTCCAATAGGGACCTGAGTCCTGGCTTCTGAACTCTGCAGCCTTCGCCAACGCCCCTCTCCTTCCTGGGTGATGCGACGGTTACTGTGCAGGCTGCTCATCTAATGCTTGAACGTTGGAAGCTTGAGTTCACCCAGATGTGCCTTGGAAGAATCCAAAACTCAGCGATGGAAACCCCATGCGGAGCACACTTCTACTCTGACATCCATGAGGGTTGTCATGAGTCAGTCTCCAGGTAATCGATTTCACTGGTCTGGCTGCGCTTCCAATTCATCCAGTCATCATTCGACCTCCAGAGCTATCGGTCCTCACTGCCTGGCTTCTAGGATAGACCTGATCAGTGCCAAGCCCAGGACTTTTGCCTGAACTAGATGGCACCAGAGGCTCCCTCTCCTGCTGGGGTAACTAAGCTGGTAGGCTATCAGCGGGGGCGTTGCCACAGGGAGGAGGGGTGGAAACTGAGAGCATCCGCGGTCTGACGCGGATGTCTGAACACCTGAACCCCATCATTCTACCTTTGGATTTCTACGTTCTGTGACCAAGTTCCTCTCTTACTCAAGCGAGTGGGAATGGGGTTGCCGTTAACATAAGCACCCATCATCACACTTTGTGGTAAACGTTGTTAACTCAGCTCCCTGCAATACTCATTCATATACAGAAGGCTGTGGCGGACCCCGCTCAGCGTCTGGCCCAGTAAGCTAGAGACATTAACAGCACTTGTTCCAACACTGTTGTACCTGCTGTCCTGACAGGCTTACCCCCCTGCCATTCCAACTCCTAGGGACCCTACAAGAAAGGGCAGAACTCCAAAGGATTTCTGAGACTAAGAATCTTTACGGGAACAGACTGCCTCATCTTCCTCCCATGGAGTAGCTGCTGGGTTTAAACACTGACCTTCAGTTAATAGCCCGATGCTTAACCCTCTGCACCAGAGTGCCTTAAGACCTGTGTTCATTTTTGCTTACTGAAAGAAATCTGAGCTGTTTCCCCACTTTTACAAGGGGAAAAGAACTCGGGTTTGTTTTGCAGTGAGTCCATTTGCGGGGCAGCGTGACTGGCGCCCCCAAGCTACTTCCCCAGGAACTACACTCAGCATTTCCACTTCACGCCAACACAGCTTTGAGCTGTCTGTGACTGCTCTGTCAGTGAGGTTTGGTTTTATGTGTTGTTTGATACAATTGGATAGGTTATTTTTGGGGGTCTAGGAACACCTAAAAATATTTCCCATAGAAACAAATGGTAATTGATTCTTCGCTTTGCACTATTTCAGCTTCTGGAAGGTTTCGTAGAAACGCTCTACTTTCAGATAAAGGGGGAAACCTGTTAATTTAAGTGACTAAGGATCATTTGCCCTTTTCCAGTCATCCATGCTAGAGCGCCCTCTACTGGCAGGTTTACAATTAAACACAAAGCCAGTCATTGCCAACCCCTGAGAGAGTTAACTGTTGGCACCCAGTGGGCAGTAACTGAGGTCTAGTTGCTTGGCTGCTAATTGAAAAGGTGGTTCAAGTCCACCAAGAAGTACCTCAGAAGAAAGGCCTGGCAATATACTTGTGAAAACTCAGCCGCTGAACACACGATGGAGTGCAGTTCTACTCTGAGAAGCACAGGGGTGCCAGGAGTCAAATGGACTCAGAGTCAGGCAGCCTGTGGTTTTAAAACAGAGCAAAGCCTGAGTGCTGCGCAGACTTGTGCTCATGGGACACAACGCCCAAGCCCACCTTCATAAAAGAAAGCACTGAGTGTGCGGAAAGCCCACCTGAAGACAAAACCAACACACATGGCGGCAAGGCAGGGAGAACGAGCTGCAGCCCTCAACACCGCGGACAGCTGAGATCAAACCCAGGGCAGACTGACGTGTGACAGAAAAGCCCAGAAGGTAGGCTGGACAAGTCCCCTTGTGGCTGAAGCCCATCTGAATTGGGTCTTTTGTTATCTGAGCATTTTGCTGTAGAGCATGGATAATCAGAAATGGGCTCAGGGATCCTCCTGCACATGCAAGCAGGGCAAGTTCTAGAAAGCAAAGACTCACTGATAATACTCCAGGACCGGCTTCGTCTGGGCTTCATACGCCTTCAGCCTTTTGTTGACCGTCTCGGGCCTGTCATCCTCACGCTGGACAAGAGGCTCCCCTGTCAGGTCATCCAGGCCCTAAACGGGAGGTAGAATGTCTGATTTCCCACGTCAGAGCCAGCCTGTTCTGAAGGGTGTTTCAAAGAGATGTGGTTTTAACACGATTTTATAACAGACCCCCTGCACTATGCAAGTACCAAACACAAAAACATGCTAAGTTTGAAACCACAGAAGCAAATCCAAAGCCACAACTGTGAGACAGAACCAGAGGACCCCCAAATGGCAATCACGGTCCCCTTAAAAGTTTTCTTAAGCAGCTTCCAAATAACCTCATGCCTACAGAAAAAGCTTCTGTTATACACCGGGCAGCTCAACTGCAAGTCCACCGTAAGTAAAGGTATCGCTGATCCCGATCCGTTCTCCAGGACCTTCCCTAGCAGGGAGTAGGGAACAAATAAAGATGTCTGAGTGAATACCAAAGTCCTTGGTGTTTTTGGATGCAGTTCTGGATAGTCCATAGGGTTAAAGAGTTCAGCTGCTGACCAAAGGGCTGGAGGTTCTGATGCAACTAAGATGCATCAGAAGAAAGGCTTGGTGACCTACTTTTTAAAAACCCAGCCACGTAATACCTTATGGTGCACAGACCTACCCTGACACTCACAAGGTCACAAGAGTCAGAGTCAGCACGGTAGCTGACTACACTCAGGAGCCTAAGAATATACCCTCAGGAGTTATTCTCCTGAAATCCTGCCTGGGCACAGGATCTCCAAATTCACAAGACCCATGCCTGCAGGTCTGTGAGGGTAGGAGAACTGAGGACCATGCTCTGTGGGAGCCACGTGGGCTCCACCGCTATTACTCACCACAGTCTTGGGAGGGTTGAATTCGATATTGTAAACTCGACCACTGCCTGGGTGGATCCAGCGAGCAGTCAGGCGCTGCTTAATGACCTCGAAGGGCACATTCAGGTTAATCACGGTGTCAAGCTGACAAACTCTGTCCAGGGCTTCAGCCTGTGGAACCGTCCTTGGAAAACCTTTAAAACAAAATTTTTTTTAAAGGGGAGAAGTAGGAAGATGAAAAAAAAGAATTACCATTGGGCAGTCAATGGTAGGAGTCCTGGTGTGGCGCTGTGGGCTAACGCGCCAGACTGCAAAGCCATTTGAACTGCAGGGTCGGTGGTTCAAGCTCACCAGCTGCTCCTTGGAGACCCTATACAGGGTCACTGTGGGTTGGAACCGACTCGATGGCACTTCACAACAACAACAAGTCAACGGTAATCTGTTTCTGAAAATCAGCAGATAAAGAGCCCTATGGCTCATACATATTAGACCCACCAACCAGTCATATGAACAACACAGCCTCAGCTTTGCTGCTCTTCTATTCCAATGTGCATAGGGTCGCCGTGAGTCAGGAGACAAATGCAGAGGGAACACACCAGGCGGGCTGACCACAGCTCTGTGGACCACCCACTCAGGGAAACTCTGGGACCACCTCAGCCACCCAATTGGACAAAGGAGAACTGCTCCTCAGGGTTTCCTGACTGTAATTCCTTACAGAAGCAGACAGCCTTCTCATTCCTCCGTGGAACAGCTTGTGGGTTTGGACCACCAATTTTAGTTAGCAGCCCCCCAACACTTAACCTACTGTACCTCCAGGAATCCTGCGCTGGCATACCCTCTTCAAAAATTAAATGGAAGGCAGAAAGACTGATGTCCTAGGCATTCGTTAAGTGCCACTCAGTCGGTTCTGACTCATAGTGACCCTGTATAGGGTTTCCAAGGAGCGACTGGTGGGCTTGAACCACCAACCTTATAGTTAACAGTCCTGTGCTTATCCTCCAGTGCCACACCAGGAATCTACTAGTGAGCTGAAATGGACTGGCATTTACTATGCCAGGAACATCAAACTGAAAAGGAATGACATTGTATTCATTGTCTAAAAGAGCATTTCAGGACCTATCTTGAAGTCCAGTGCTGTCTGTGATAAGATAATAGGAGTTATAGAAAGACATCAAGAACATCATACAGGAAGAAAGCAAAAGGACATTAAAAAGAAAGAAAAGATCAAAATGGATGTCAGAAGAGTCTCTCAAACTTGTTCTTGAGTAAAGAGAAGCTAAATCACATGGAAGAAATTAAGAAGCTCTTTTAAAGGCTGAACAGAAAATTTCAAAGGGCAGCTCTAGAAGATAAAGTCAAGTTTATAATCAAACTTGTGCAAAGATCTCAAGTTAGAAAACCAAAAGGGAAGACCATGCTCAGTAGTTCTCAGGCTGAGAGAACTAAAGAAAAAACTTAAGCCTTGGAATGGTAATACTGAAGGATTCTGTGGGCTAAATATTGAATGACGCAGGAAGCATCTAAAGAAGATAGATGGAAGAAATACACAGAGTCACTGTACCAAAAAGAATTGGTTGATGTTCAACCATTTCAAGAAGAAGTATATAATCAAGGACCAGTGGTACTGAAGGAAGAATATCCAAGCTGCACCAAAGGCATCGGTTAAGTTGCTCCAGGAGCTGATGGAGAAAAACAATGTTCCAGAAATTGACAGACTACAAACTGTAACATTTCAACAAACTGATGCAGCTCTGGAACTCATCTGTGCCAAGAAATTTGGAAGACAGCTACCAGGCCAACCAGTTGGAAGGGAGCCGTATTTGTGTACATTTCAAATAAAAGTGACTCAGCAGAATGTGGAAACGATCCAACAATATCACTGTTATCACATGCAAGTAAAATATGATGAAGATAATTCAAAAACGGTTGTAGCGGTACATCTGCAGAGAGCTGCCAGAAATTCAAGCTGGATTCAGAAGCGGATGAGGGCTAGCATTACTAACATCACATGTTCATGGCTAATAGCAGATAATACCAAAAGATGTTTGGTATTTGTTGTTGTTATGTGCCATCAAGTCAGTTCTGACTTATACACAGCAAAACCCTGTCTGGTCCCCCATTATCCTCATAATTGTTGTTACATTTGAACCCATTGTTGCTACAACATTGTTTTATTGACAATGCAAAGGCATCTGAATATGTGGATCATAAAAGCTATGGATAACATTGGGGAACTCCAGATTGTGCTTATGCGGAACCTGTACACAGACCAAGAGACAGTTGTTCAAACAGAACAAAGGGCTACTGTGTATCAGGGCTGTATTCTTTCACCACACTTATTCAATCTGTATGCTGAGCAAATCATTCGAGAAACTGGGTTATCTAAAGAAGAACATCGCATTAGAACTGGGGAAAGACTCATCAACAACCTTTGATACGCATATGACACAACTTTGCTTGCTGGAAATGAAGAGGATTTGAAGTACTTACTGAAGAAGATCAAAAACTATAGCCTTCAGTATAGATTATACCTCAAAGTAAAGAAAACAAAAGTCCTCATAACTGGACCAAAAACAAGATCTAGATAAAGGAAACAAAAAATACTGAAATTGTCAAAGACTTCATTATACTTGAATCCACAGTTAACACTCATGGCAACAGCAGTCAAGAAATCAAATGATGTACTGCATTAGGCAAATCTGCTGCAAAAGACCTCTTTAGAGTATCAAAGAGCAAAGATGGTACTTTGAGGACTAAGGTCCAGCGGACCCAAGCAAGCAATGGTATTTTCATCTCATATGCGTGTGAAAACTGGACAATGAATAAGGAAGACTGGAGAAGAATCAATGCATCTGAATTATGATGTTGGCAAAGAATACTGAAAATATTACAGCCTCCCAGAAGAACGAACAAATCTGTTTCGGAAGAAATACAGCTGGACGGCTCTTTGGAAGGGATGATGGTGAGATTTCATGTCATATTTTGGGCATGGTATCAGCAGGGACCAGTCCCTGAAGGACATGATGCTAGGTAAAGTGGAGGGTCAGTGAAGAAGAGGGAGATGCTACAGTGGCGGCAACAAAGGGTTCACATACAACAACACTTATGAGATGGCGTAGGACCAGGCAGTTTTGTTCTGTTGTACATATGGTCACTATGAGTCGGAACCAACTCCATGGCACCTAACAACAATAACAACTTTCAAAAACAAATATTGTGACTCGTATCTTCTTGGAAGGAAAGACTTATTCCAGCTTGAGAACAAAACAACAGCAAAACATTGATCTCTTTTGTGTCCCCTCGTTATCAACGAAGCTCTAATACGAAGCTAAAAACGCCACCTACCTTCAAGGGTCCCGTCACGCTACTGGCTGGGAGAGATGACAGCCTGGAGTTCTACAGTGACCCTCCCAGTTATAAAAGAGTAAATTCTCAACGGCGGGGAGCGGAAACAAAGTCACATCCAAAGGGAACTTAGAAATCAAGCGACTCACCTTCCTCTCTCCATTCTGATGTTGTTGTGTTGTTAAGTGCCATCGAGTCGGTTCTGACCCATAGCGACCCTGTACAGGGTTTCCGAGGGTGTAAATCTTTACGGGAGTAGAAAGCCTCATCTTTCTCCCACGGAGCAGCTGATAGTTTCAAACCACTGACCTTAAGGTTCGCAGTCCGATTCATAACCACTACGCTACCAGAGCTCCATTCTGATGAAGAACCCATAAAGCCCAGGGCCTCAGGAGGTTAGAGGCCAGGCCTCCTGAATGCACCCAACCAGGCCCTGCCTGCGGCCAGCAGTGCTCAGCACTTTGTGCAGCTGACAAGATGCGCCGAACACACAGCATCAGTAAAGCATTCAGCTGCTGGGGGTTTGAACCTCTCTCTCCAGTGGTTCCACATGAGAAAAACCTGGAGCTCTGCTCCCACGAAGACCCAGGCTAGGAAACTATGGGGCTGTTGTGCTCTGTCACACAGGGTCTCTAGGAGTTGGAACTGACTCGACAGCACCTCTCCTTACCGTCCAGTAGCCAGCTACCCTGGGTGAGATGTTTCAGCTCGTGAAGGACCAGCCGGGTCATGACATCGTCTGGGATGAGCTTTCCTTGGTCAATGAAAGTCTTGGCTAACACACCAATCTCTGCAGTGGATAGAAGAGGAGGGAAGCTGATCAACAAGTTCATTTGTTTATTTCATCCAGGATCCTGAGGACTAGCTACCTTAACAGGCACTCAATCCTTACTCAGAGCACCCCTAGCGGAGTTCAGTGGGGAACTGCTCCGTAGGGTTTCCGAGGTTGTCAGTCTTAACGGAGGCAGATTGGTACCCCAGTCTCCCTCGGAGCAAGCTGGGGGGTTTCACACCACTGACCTTGCAGTTATCACCCCCATTGCTTAAACCATGGCACCACCCAGGCTCCCTCTGGGTAACATATCCATATGAAAATGTGCACCTTCAATTTCTGTGATAAAACCAGAGGTGACAAAATGGCCAACTTGGTCTCAATTACGTAGGAATATGGAACTGTAAATGGCCAGGCCACAATAAACAAACAACAGAAAGCTATAGATCAGTATGCCACCGTTGTCCCTGCACGACAGAAGTATGGGGGGCTCACACGTCTTTGTACTTTTTTGCGTTTTCCCAATTTTCTATCATCAGTTTGTTGTTTACATTTCTAAGTTTTACCCTCACTGCTCCCCAAATGACATGCACAGACTTCCATGTTACCAGCTCCCTTGGTTTGGGGTGAATATTTATTGGCTTGACTGCCACTCATTTAATATTATTTCTAAACAGACTTTTTACAAGTTTTTATTGTGAATTGAGTGAAAGTTTACAGATCATCAGTTTTACATTCACCAAATCATACATCTTGTTTCATTACAATGATTATAATCCCCTCCATGTACCATCAGATAACAGTATTTCTCTCTATTCACTTTAGCTTCCCCGCGGCCCCCCCACCCCCACCCCCGGATCTAGGCTCCCTCTTGAAAGCTTATAAGCCAATCACTTCTTGCCTTTGTACCCCCCTCCCCCATTTTGGGTAGCCAATGTCGAAGTTGCCCATTCCTGTCTACTCTGTGTATGGAGGGGGTGGGAATGATCCTTACTGTAAAGATCTGTTTCCTCTTTTGAGCTACTGCATCCATAGGTGTAGGTCAAGTTCATCAAATTGTATCAGATTACTCTTTTTTTTCCTCCTCTTCTTTTAGTTGAGCTCTGATTATCCAGTCATTGAAGCCACGTCAAGTGGGTATTATCTGCAAGTGTGGGTGTTCTTGTACATATGCCCTCCCTTCTTATCAGCTGGACGCTTCACTCTCCACTCTAGTCCTCTGTGGCTATGTCACTGACTCTGGGACCAGGAGTCCCCAGGTCTTGCCTTGCTGCTGGCCAACCAGGTCTCCACCCGGGTTCACAGGAGTCTATTGAACGTGGTAGGACTTAGCTCACAGCTTCATTGTTGTTTTTCCCTCATTTCCCCTTATCGGTGACCAACATGGTGGTCACCAGTCAAGGCGCGTGTCTGCTCGTGTATTCCCCTTGAGTCTTAGTCTTGGAAACGGGTTTGCCCTGATGGGACCCGACTGCTTGCCTTGATGTCTCCTGGGTGAGCTACTTGCTTGTTCTTGTAGTAATCAGTCGGACTGCTGTTACTGTTGTTTATTTATCCCGTCGATCTTTCTTTCAAGAAGCATCTTCTGTTCTTCTAGCCATTCCAGGCTGGTCTGCTTGTCCTTGCAAGTGGAAATCTCCCACCTCACAAGATTCTGGATGCTATTCAGGATTCCACCTATGGTCTTATGCAATGTAGAGGCTCCACGTGAAACCTCCTTCACTGGGCAAATTGTGGCCCCATTTTAAGTATTCCAATCAGTTATAGACACAAGATGGACTTACAAGCTTTCTATGGTGATATTTCTGGCTATTCCTATCTCTCCCCCTCAATTGTCTATTTTATAATGATGTGCAAGGAAAAACAAGATTCAAAAGATATCCAAGCATCTTAACATGATTTCCCTCTTTTACCCATTCAAAACATGCCTCAATCCCTGTATCCCAGAGCCCTGTTGTTCCAAGGTTGTGCACACATCATTATTTACCTCTGTCCCACTTAGCCCATGCAAACCAACCTATTTTCTATGTGATTGAAAACATGAACACATTTGAGAGCCTTCGTACCTAGTTTTAAAGTCAATGATTCATAGCATAATTTCCTACAAAGTTATATAAAAATAAAAATAAGGACAAAAAGTTAGAAAAAAAAACAACAAGGGAAGTCAAATCCCGCTTTTATGTAGTAATCAGAAGTTCTCACAGATGGAGACATTAGTCTGAGAAATGTGTGTATTCTATAAAAAGCCATTTTTAACTCTGTCTGGGGACGCTTGTATTACCTAAACCAACCACACCTCATATCCAAATAAACTGAGAACTCATTGTTTGGGCAGCTCTGAAATACAAAAGAGATGTCACCCAATCTGTAAACGATAGTTCCCTTCCTGGTGTGGTGCTGTAGGATAAGCACTGACAGCTAGAGCTGCAAGGTCAGTGGTTCGAACCCTATACAGGGTTGCTATGATTTGACGGCACTCAAGAAGAATTCAAAGTTGCTTTTAGAATCATTACATAATCAACTAGGCACCAAGGTGGCACATGGTTAAAGCGCTCGCCTGTTAACGAACAGGATGGCAGTTCCAATCCAGCAGCCTCTTTGTGGGAGGAAGATGAGGCAGTCTGTTTCCATACAGATTCACAGCAGTGGCTACAACTACCAACTGCTCTGAAAGGAAGCACATTAGAAGTTTCTGGACAGAGTGGGAAGACAAACTAGACCAAAACTCAAAATCCAAAAGCAAGGCCAGACTTACGGATCAGATAAAAATTGGTGGAACCCTGAAACTATAGCCCTTAATCACCCTTCAAAGGTCTAGATATGAACTCACCCCGTCGCTCAGCCAAGCAACGAACAGTTCTCTAAGAGGGACAGTAACTCTAAGGAGATACGCATGCCATCGAACAGGGCTGGGGAACCTCTTTTCTGCCAAAATCTATATCATTGGCAGGCTATACAAAATTATCAAATTAAAAATTAGCCTGCTATGTTTGCCCGAACATTTAATTAGCTCACCCTTAATGTGATGGCTGTTCCATGGGAGAAAGATGAGGCTTTCTGCTCCCGGAAAGGTCTACAGCCTTGGGAACCCTATTCGCTATGAGTCGGAACTGACTCCACAGCACACAACCACCACCACCACCACCAATGAGATGGTTGGAACTGTGATTGCCTTGGCAAAGCCAGACCAAATGATTTTGTGGGTCTTTATTATATAGAGTCCAGAGTCCTGGTGTGGCGCTGTGGGTTAATGCACCAGACTGCAACGCCGTTTGAACTGCAAGGTCGGTGGTTCACCAGCTGCTCCTCGAAACCCTATATAGGGTCACAAGAACTTGGAACCATCTCAACAACACTTAACAACAACAACATATGGAGTCCTGGTGTGGCACTGTGGGTTAAGGTACTGGATGGCAAAGTTGGTTTGAACTGCAAGGTCAGTGGTTCAAGCTCACCAGCTGCTCCTCGGAAAACTCTATACAGGGTCGCTATGAGTCAGAACTGACTCCATGGCATTTTACAACATATGGCCCATGGAGTCTTGGTGTGGCACTGTAAGATAAAGCACTGGACCGCAAGGGCATTTGAACTGCAAGGTTGGTGGATCAAACTCACCAGCTGCTCCTAGGAAACCCCATACAGGATTGCTATAAGTCGGAACCTACTTGATGGTACTTAACAACAACAATATAATCAGCCATTTGAGATCCAAATGGCAGCATTTATCCAAGGACAAAGCTCAGAAGGGTTAGGAAAGGAGGAAGAACGGAAACACAAAACACTGGGACGAAGTGGGATGTCACATTGTGGGGACTGTAATCAGTGAGATGAAACAAAGTGTGAGTTAATTGTTGAATGGAAAACTGATCGGCTCTGTAAACCGTAACCCAATTCACAATAAATAAGTTAAAAAAATAGAACTGAAAAGCGGGGAGAAAGATTTATAGCCTTGGAAACCCCATGGAGTAGTTTTTTTGTTTTTTTTTTTTAAGTGAGAGTAAAACTAGGTAACTGACAAGAATCCTGGTGTGGCGCTATAGGTTCAGCACTGGACAGCGAACCACAAGGTCAACAATTCAAACCTGCTTGGAAAACCTAAACAGGGTCGCTATGAATCGGAACCGACTCAACAGGGTGAGTTAAATAACAGCTTTCAGCCAATCAAGGGGTTTTTAAACAACCTTCATCAAATAAGTCCGCATGGGCGTAAGCTATGAGGAGGCAAGGAGGAGACAAGAGTGGGAGGGGTGCCCAGGCCCGCCCTCAAAGTAGTTTTCCCATCTGGTGGTGGGAAAACGGACACTCATTTTTATGTTTAGAATAAGCACTGGATGGATCACAAGGTCAGTGGTTCGAGCCCACCATGCACTGTGCAGGAGAATGATGAGGTTTTGTGCTCCTGCAAAGATTTATAGCTTTGGAAACCCTCTATCAGGTCACTATGGGTCAGAACCAAATCAATGGTACTTTACAACTACCGTACACAGGTATTATAATACTTTAATATACAGTTTGCTGAAGTCCAAGGTGCATTGAAGGAACTGGCAAAGAACAAGGCACCAGCAATTGATGGAATAAAAATTGAAATCTTTCAAGAAAGTGAGGCAGCATGGGAGGCACTCACTCATCTCTGCCAAGAAATTTGGAAGACAATTATCTGGCCGACCAATTGGAAGAGATCCATATTTGTGCCCATTCCAAAGAGAGGTGACCCAACGGAATGCGGAAATCATCGGACAATCTCTTTGATGTGAGTAAAGTTTTACTAAAGGTAATACAGAAACGGCTGCAAGCATACATTGACAGAGAACTTCCAGAGGTTCAAGCCAGATTCAGAAGAGGCCATGGAACGAGGGATATCATTGCTGATGTCCGATGGATCTTGGCTGAAAGCAGAGAATATCAGAAAGATGTTTATCTGTGCTTTATTGACTACGCAAAGGCTTCGATTGTGTGGATCATGACAAGCTATGGACAACATTGCAAAGTATGAGTATTCCGGAGCACTTAATTGTGCT